TGAGTTTTTCAATATGTCATGGGGATTCTCTACCAGGTTACGGGGGGCCGTGACGCGGCAAACAGGAGGGTACATGCTGTTTCTTTTCGTAGTCTTTGCGAAAAGGCAATTCCGGTTGGACTTATGATTTAACTAATAAGTAAGCAATCCCCGCCCTTTATAGCTATGACAGGAATACGCTTGACGCTCTCACGAGATCTCCCCCGCTCTATGGCAGGCAGTGCGCTTCAAGAGGCGGGGCAACGTGCCAGAGGAGGAGCTGGGCGCTTCAAGAGGCGGGGCAACGTGCCAGAGGATGGGGCGGGGCAAAATGCCGGGGGCGGGGCCTACGACGCTAGGGGGCGTGGCGAGTGTTGCAGAATTCCTGTCGGGTGCTGGGTTTGGACCCGCTCTTCTTTACAATACAACGTGCCGTGAAGCCAACTGGTGCATGTAAGGCGGACACTTAAAAGGAGAAGGCGTCACGCACTGTGGGACCCTCAGGAATGCCAAACAGATTTTCCGGAGGAGTTCAAAGGCGCCGGAGTCGACCAATGGCTCGTTTCCGTTCCCTGCGCCGCCCCCTGCGCAAGCGCAGCGACGGTTCTCGCGCGGCCATTGGCTCGGGCTAGGGGTGGGTCCGGAACCTGCGTGCGGCGGAACCTTTTCCTCTGCGCTCCAGGTTGCGCGGGGCGCATCTCTGTGACGCGTTTCCGGGCGCCCTACTTCCGGGGCATGCGGCGCGGCGAGCTGGGTTTTAAACAGCCATGGCCCTGCGGGTCTGGCGTCAGCGGACTCTGAAGCGGTGTCTGGACGAGGTTGGTGAGAACACAGGCCGGCCAGAGGGCTTCCTCACGTAAGTGCGCGGAGCCCGGGCTCGGGATCGGGCCCAGGTCTCCGGCGGGGGCGGGCTGCAGGCCCCTGTCAGTGTCTGGGATAGAGGGAAGCTAACGGGAGGCGTACTGGTAGATCTCTTTTCCCCAAATTTCAGATCGTTTCCGCCCCCTTAGCCTGTCAGAATTTCAGTCGTGTGCAGATTCACAGATACTAAGTTCACACTTTTGTGTATTAAGGTGGCTCATCAGCAAGATGGTCCAGATTCTTGGGGACCAGAATCTATACTTAAAATTGACGTTTCATTCACATTTGATTTTGCACAAGACTGGGGCCTTATTTCCCCCTTTAATTTAAGAGTACCGCGAGGTTACTGCCAGACTGACGAATCTCAGAGCGAAGGCAGGGGCTGTGGGGGGTGGAAAGGGATTAACCACAGACCTTATGTGTGTATCCCATGGACACAGACAATAGTACGGGGAAGGGGGGGTGGGGCGCATGCGAGGTGGAGTGGGGGGGCGAAGGTGACGTCTGTAATACTTTAAACAATAAAGATACATTTTTTTAAAAGTCTCCTTTAACTTCCTCCCCTGCTCCCTTGCTAGGATTCAAGATGAATTGGCATCAAACTTCACTTCCTTGACAAAAGTGCTTTATGACTTTAATAAAGTGCTGGAGCGCGGCAGGATCCCCGGGAGCCCTTTGCAGAAACTGGTGATCGACCGTTTTGACGAGGAGCAGATTTGCCACAGCTGGAGCTGCAGAATGAGCCGGTGCTGCAGTACTTTGAGAGCGCCGTCC